CTCCTCCTCCTCCTGCTGCTGCTGCCACCGACACTATAGCCGATTCAACTGCTGCAGCCGAGAATGCAGCCCAGTACTCGTCAAAAACAAACAACTCTGTGACCCCTCTCAGGCAGTAGTGACACGACGTCCTTCAGGCTCGCATTACTCGTTCTCACAATCCTACAAATGCAACTTTTTCTTTTTCTTGGTAAGGCCCACCGAGCGATGTAGCTCTTTTTCACAAGCAACCTGGCTCTCACAAATGATAGCTCAACAAAGTGTCTGAAACCTTTTGCAAGGAATCATGTTTACATTAGCCAGAAAAAATGGAAAAACCCTATTATTACATGATGTAGATGCTTACTTTGATAGTGCGATGTCTTTGAACTGTGCGCCTTTTGGCATCATCTGGTCGAACACCGTATGAGACTAAGCTCTAAGGAAAGCTGTCTCTGGTGTGGACCAATCAGTTTCAAGGACAATGCATAAATTATCAGTGTTGTTTTTCGTTTGCATTTTGACTGCAAGTATTGTGGTTAATGTAAACATGAGTCCTTGCAAAAGGTTTCAGTTTTGTCGCCTGAAAAAAGGGTAAAAACCCGATTATTGTGGTACGTGGTGTGGGTTGGTGTGTTGTGGCATGTGATGTGCTATTGTTTTCGTTGTCGTGTGGCATGATGTGCGATGGTATAGCGTTGGCTGGTGATACAGTGTGGTGTCGTGTCATGTCGTATCATTGTCGTGCAATGTGTTGTTGTTGTTGTGCAGAACCCATAGACGTGGAGGTAAAGCCGTGAAAAAGAGCTCCTGGGAAAGCCCAGCTGAAGTGAGAACTGCCGACACCACTCACACAGCACCCCACCACTCACCACTCACACAGCACCCCCACCACTCACCACTCACACAGCACCCCACCACTCACCACTCACACAGCACCCCACCACTCACCCCTCACACAGCACCCCACCACTCACCACTCACACAGCACCCCACCACTCACCACTCACACAGCACTCACCACTCACACAGCACCCTACTACTCACCACTCACACAGCACCCCACCACTCACCACTCACACAGCACCCCACCACTCACCACTCACACAGCACTCACCACTCACTCACCACTCACACAGCACCGCACCACTCACACAGCACCCCACCACTCACCCCCACACTCACCACTCACACAGCACTCACCACTCACCACTCACACAGCACTCACCACTCACCCCACCACTCACCACTCACCCCACACTCACCACTCACACAGCACCCCACCACTCACTACTCACACAGCACTCACCACTCACCACTCACACAGCACTCACCACTCACACAGCACCCTACCACTCACAACACTCACTTACCACTCACACAACACTCACTCACCACTCACACAGCACTCACCACTCACACAACACTCACCGTTCACACAGCACTCACCACTCACCACTCACACAGCACCCTACCACTCACACACCACTCGCACAGCACTCACCACTCACACAGCGCTCACCACTCACTCACCACTCACACAGCACTCACCACTCACACAGCACCCCACCACTCACCACTCACACAGCACGCGACCAAACTTGTGCATTTATGTGTGCATGAGCATGCTTGTGCGTGTGTACGTGAATGCGGGTGAGTGAGTGTGTGCATACTCATCATGTTCGTGCGCTCGTTTCCCTCAGCCCAAGCGGGGCCGTGCGGAGCGGAGACGGCAGCTGGCCAGCACGCCCACAGCGACCCAACCCGCCGACACAAGTGAGGACATGGCCCTCCCTCGGTGTCCGTCTGGTTGTTAACCTCTCTCTCTCTGCCTCTCTCTCTCTCTGCATGGCCCTTTCTGCATCTCCATTTCTCTCCAAACCTCAAACCCCTCCGTGCGTTCACAGTTGGCTGCTCATGCCAACAAGCATCTCTCACCTCCACTAACACAGGACGCGGCATGGTGCTGGCCACTCAACCGCTCGTGTGCCGTGTCATCCTTGACAAATGCGAGGCAACAACACTTGCCACGCCGGTCCGTGGGGTGCATCTGTGCCAGTCACCTCGGCCAGTCAACTGATAACGCCCGGGTCTGTGCCATGGCCTGCTGCCAGCGAGCCTTCACACTTCACACGGCTTCAAAGGGCACCCAGGCTGGCATGAGCGCAGCGGTGACATCACTGCCACTTAGTCGTGAATGACGGCTGTTGTTTTTATTATTTATGCCTGCTTGTGTCTGATATCCTGTGTACGATCTGCCTGTGTGTGTGTACGGGGAATGGTAGTGTAGCGATTAGCGCACCGCGCTACAAACCTGGCGACCCGGGTTCAATTCCCGCTCACGGACAACACCGGTGATGATTATCTGAACTGGTCCCAGATCTCCCCTACGTCGACTCGGCCTCAAATGAGTACCGGGTGCGGTGTGTAAACATCGCCACTGGGGAGACAAAGGCGGTTGGGGCATGGTGCTGGCCACCCACCCCCTCGTGTGCCGTACTGGCCTTAATAGGTGCTCGCTAAAAACACTTTCCCCAACAGTATGTTAAGGCTATATACGGGGGATCTTTGTCTTTGTGTGTTTTCTGCAGTGACCTACTACAGCCAATCGGCCGACCTTTCCGAGATCGACGCTCGCCTCGACGCTCTGCAGGACTACATGCGTGCGCTAGAAGCCCACAAGTAGCCCCTCCGTCCCTCCCACCGGTAGCTCCTCCGTCCCTCCCACCGGTAGCCCCTCCATCCCTCCCACCACGGCCACCTTCGTGGGAGTGTCGCCCATGGGTAGCACGTCGTCAGTGCTCGCCACTTGGCACCATCTTACCAACACCTCCCAATGCCTATTAGAGCACGACAACACTCGTCATGCAGTATCACATCATCAGAGTACCTACCACGCAGTCGTATCTGCCTCATCGCCACTACCACGCAGTCGTATCTCACCATCAAGTCCCCCGTGTAGCCTTAACAGATCGTTGGGACAAGTGCTGCGAGCACCTATGAAGGCTGACACGGCACACGAGGGGGTGAGTGGCCAGCCCTACGCCCGGCCGCCTTTGTCTCCCCATTGGCGATATTTAACCACCGCACCAGTTACTTTAGCCCGAGTTGACACAAGGAAGGTCGAGGACCAGTTCAGATATTCAGATCCGGTGTTGGCTGTGAGCGGGAATCGAACTCGGGTCGCTGGGTTCATAGCAGCGCGCTAACCACTCCCGGAGTATCTCATCATCACAGCACCTGCCACGGCTGTGTGAAGCACCACAGCATTGCACCCTTCTAAAGATCACCTCCCTCGCTATGGCAGGGTCATGTGGCATGGTTAAGATGTGTTGGCATGCCTGCGATTCGGCACTTTCCAGCCGGGGTTGATAGGATATTGTAAAGACCAAAATATCTCAGCGTGGATTTTAGAGTTTTTTCCTTTGTGTGTGCGTTTGTGGGTTTTCTCTAGCGTCTCTTGTTTTTTTTCCTTGTGCAGAAACCCTGATTTTAAAAGATTTATCCAGACATTCCAATGCAAATAAATCGTCAAAAAGCCTCCCTGCGCAAGCAATCAAGGAGCGATGCTCTTCTTGCAGTTATGACAATTCCCCATTCACATGACAGAGGCGAGTTCATTATCTATCGGATGATCGCTGTTAACTTTTCACGCGGCATTAATTTTATTGTGTGAAAGTGTGATGGGCCGAGCCGATTTCGGAGCACCGTGCATAGAGAGCTCCGATTCCAGCAGGATCCTTCAGATGCCAGCAGCAGATTTTCCTGCGTAGATGCCTACTCCCGTCATAGAAGTGTCGAAGCCGAGGACCGCAAATGGGGTGCCGTGCAAATCGATTGAGCAGGCACGCTTGTCTACGAATTGATAGGTGAGATTTAAAACCTGAATATGTTGAGCGACTTTAAAAGCCATCGCTATTGGATTACACCGAGCTTGAAGAAACGAACATAATCCCCATTTTCTGTAATTTCAGAGTTTTGTAAACGGTTAATGTTTTGACTTATGCGGTGATTCTAGAAACTCAACAATTTTGTCATTAACACAAACCTTAAAAATAAAATATATTACAGGTAACGTTGAGGAAAATGGCCCTTCTAAGCACACATATTTATGCAGATGGACCGTTACCTCAAATGTATACATTATATATTTGTTATTTTAAGGCCATAGTTTTCGTGATAAACGCGTTACATTCCTTTTGTTACTGGTGCTCTCGTGCCCAACTGGCGATGCAGCAGCGTCACCAAACAACTTGTTTCAGAATTATTCTACGCTTTGGCGAAAAAAGCCATTGGCTGCTTCTGAAGCTGGCGTGGTCCTTTACTCGAGTTTTGAAAAAAAACGATATTGTAAGCAAGTTAAATGTGCGCCAATGGCAATCCGAATACACACTAATCCCAGAGTAATTACACGGGATCACCAGAACTTGCCTTTTGGTGATCGGGCTACAGTAACGAGTTCCTCCCCAACATAGGTGACGGCTTCGCTCGCAATGCCTCTCGGCACGTTGGTTCTCAATTTGGGAGCCACTGGCCCAGACCCACGTCCTCGCGTGCCCACGGATTTGGGGTTTGATTTGCATGTTGCCGCGATATTTGTCATGTACATACATATATTTTATTGGCGTCCTGCGTGATGTGAATTGCTGAACTTTTTAAAACTCTTGTATATTGCCTTGTTTTTGGATGTCTTCAGAACTTTTCAGATTTTTTTTTTAACGGTTAAAATGCCGCGGATGTTACCTACAGGGTTCACCACGAAGTGAATACTTCCTGTTGTCCATAGTCAGATCAAAATGTCATCACGGCGCGTACCAACAAAGCGACCGCGGCAATCGCCTCCTTCCTTCTGCCAGGTCATCGAGTTGTCACACACTTGACACTCGATCTCCCGAGGCCTGCTCACGGTCTCACGACCACCGTCTCCTTGTAGGGCTCTCCCCCTTGCCTTGCGGTTCGCTCGTCCTTCAAGTACCACTCGTACAACCCCGAGATTGAATATTATTTCTGTATTTGGACGCTGTATAAATAAACACATTATTTAAAACACATGCAGGCAAACACAAATTCAAAAGTGTTTAGGTAAAAATGCAATTGTCACATTTTTAAAGACGCACGCAAATTCTTGTCCATGAGCGCTAGCAGGGGGTGACGATGCCACTTGGGCAACTCACTCGTGCGAGTCGCTGCATCTCAACCGGACGACTTCTAAACACGTGCGTCCCCGGCAGGGGTCATGTCCCTCGTCAACCCCGGTAATTACGGCAGCAGCAGAAGGTGAATTTCAATCCCCATGGGACGGTTGAGTTGAGCCGCCTTGATTGCATTAAGTCAATCCGAACGTTCACCACGGAATCGAGTGTCGAGCAACCGGCAACTTGGCAACATCTCGTCGACGGACGCAAATATCAAAGCCAAGTTGCCTGGCAATACATCGGTGTGCGAGTCCACGAGTTTGTGACTTGGAAGTGAAGAGCTTGCTTTGTAAACGTGGATACCCGCGTGTTTTAATAAAGTGTTGCGATCTCTTGCATCCTTCACCTTTCAACTCCCGTGTCACTGCACACCACTGGAGCAGACTTAGTGACGAGCAATAGTTAACTTGGGGAGACCTTCACAAGACAAAAAACAAATCTCCCTATTATTTGTGGAAGTTGTGCACTGTATTTTGAAGCCAGGCTCTCTGCTCAACAATGTGATTTGTGATTAACAGTTCATTTGACGACGTCTCGGTCTCGTTAGTGGATAGTGGTTTTCCCCAACGTCGTTGATTCGACACATTTGTAATGTAAGACCTCCGCTGGCGGGCCAGGATTAAGTAAAAATCCAAAACGATACACGGGAGTTTTGTTTGTTCAGTACATCGATGACCGAGATGAAACCATCAACTCGCTTGGCCTTGAGAACCCGGATCCGTGTCGTGTGCGAGTCTGTGCACATGAGGGGGCAGGGCAGAGTTCACTTCGTCTTCGGCTCCAAGCGGCCCAGATCGCCAAAGGATCGAGTCTGCGAGCCCCTCTTGGCCGGCTTGGCCTGGACAGGAGGAGAGGAAACGGATTGAGTTCCAGGCCGAACCAATTGTGTTGTGCGCTTTCCACACTCCTGCAAGAGAGGCATCTACCCCAATCCTTGCTACGATCTCTCCAGTGGCTCCAATCACAATCCTGGATCAACTGCAGGATACATTTTTTATTTTACCAGGTAAGGCCCACTGAGCTATGTAGCTCTTTTTCAGAAACGCCCTGGCCACAAATGATAGCTCAATGAAGTGGCTTATGTGGAAATGTATAGCAGCCAAATACTCTAAACGCGTGACGTTGATTCCAAATGTGGAGGGAAAACCCGGAGAACCCGAAGAAAAATCCACGCGACCATGGGGAGCACATGCAAGCTCCAAATATGCAGGTTTCAGGGTCATCATGGAACCCACGACCTCATGTATACCAGGCGAGGTAGTTAATTATGAGACGTGCATTGCCAGGGCTTGAACCCCGATGCTGGGCCGTGGTGGCTCGGTGCTCTCTCAAGAGCCTAACATGCACGGGGTAGAGGTCTCACCTGTGACTCGTGCGGTTTCCAGCCGATCATGTGCAGCACCTGGAACGTGGCCGGGATGGAGTCTTCCGTTGGCCCGTACATCTCTGTGTCAAAGCACACGCGCGTACACACAAGGATAAAGTTTCCCCCCTCCCCTGTGTAACCGTGAAACACACTTGGGGGAAAGTGCTGTTAGCGAGCACCTATTAAGGCCAGCACAGCACACAAGGGGGTGGGTGGTCGGTACCCCCCGCCAAACCACCTTTGTCTCCCTAGTTCTGATCTTTACACACTGGACCAGATACTCATTTGAGGCTAAGTCAAACTGGGGGAGGCCCAGGACAGGTTCAGATAATCTTAAACAATGTTGGCCGTTGCGGGAATCGAATGTGGGTCGCCAGGTTCATACCGCAGTGCACCAAATACACCGCTGCATGTGTATCAATATGGGCATATGAACACTCGCAGATACACCCACACACGTGCACACATACCCCCATATACGTATGTACATTTACATACACACCTACACAAAAACAGGTGCTTGTGATCAGTGCCGATGGAAAGCCAATGGGTTTATGCACTCAAAGTTAAAAAAACTAAAACTAAACCCATTTGTCATTAATACTGCGGCCTTAAAAGGAAAAATATATAACGAGTCACGATTTGACAACTGCCCTTCTTCATAGCGCATCAGAAGAAGCCAGGAGGGTCGTTGCCTTAATCGTCACCCGTTACATCATTTTCTCTTTAAGGCCGCAGTGCTAATGACAAATGTGTTGAGTTTTTTTGGTTATCTGTGCTCGTGCACCACTGCCAAAGCAGCCAGCAACAGCCAGCAGCCCGGAGCCAGCAGCAGCAGCATCACCAAACTGCTCCCGAAGTGGCGTCACTGTGGAGGATCATCGTCGTCATAATCGTCATCATCGTCGTCATCATCGTCATCGCCGTCATCGTCGGGCGCGCCCAGTGCACAAACCCTTGTAGATGGCAGCAGCCGCGACCATCGTGTCCCGGTGCAGCATCGCCTTCCGGTTCCACGTGCAGTTACTCTCGCCCATCCCTGATGCGCACGCACACAACAAAGATTCCCCGTGTAGCCCTAACAGACTGTTGGGGCAAGTGGCCAGCAGCAGGGGGCGGCAGTCTTTTGTCTCCCCAGTGGCGATGTTTGCACACCGCACTCGGTCATCGTTTGAGGCCGAGTCGCCCTAGCAGGGGCCCAGGACCGAATCAGATAATCACCACCGGTGTTGGCTGTGAGTGGCAATCCAACTCGGGTTGCCGTGATCGTAGCGCCGCGCGCTAACCGCTGCGCCACCGCTCCCCGAACACACAGACACGCACAGACAAACAGCACTTGAACACAGCACATTCGCCAGAAGTTCAACATACATGTTGCTCAAGCTCATCGTTCAATCCAGCAGGCCACCCTGGTTATTACTGCGGGTGTATAAAAACAAAACTATCAATGTGCACACGTATGCGCATTGGTAATACAGTACACGTCCATATATCCAATGTGTGTATGTGTCCGTATGTCAATGTTTGCCATGCAGTACCTACCCTGCAAGTCGGCCATGAGTTCGAACATCGTCGGATAACGAACCACAATCTCGTCCATATCCTAAAACCAACGCGCGCATGGGGGGGGGAATCCAGACGCGACACAGGAGACAAACACGGGGAGATGGAGCAAAAGGGAATCCAGACGCGACACAGGGACGCGGCGAGACGCGTGGACAGGAGACAAACACGGGGAGACGGAGACGGGAAGACAGACGTATAGAGGGAGAGAACGGGGACAGGAGCACACGGGCGAGGGACAGAGACACAGAGATTGGAGAGGACCATCAGTTTAGGTCGCAAGCATGTGGCAAGCTCTCGCCCTGCGAGTGATCGTCATCTTTCGTTTCACCAGACCACAGCCCTGCTGCTAAAATTCTATATTTGGAAGCCCACTGATGACACCGCTCGAATCCTTTGACCACGCTGAGGCGCCCTGAGATTCACTGTCCCTCTTGTGAATGCCCGTTATTATTATATATTTAACCAGAGGGAGGGGGGGGGGTTCAGTGGTTTACAAGCTGCACGATGAACCTCGCAACCCGAGTTCGATTCCAGGCCGCGGCTCGGCTAACATCGCTGGTGGGCGATATCCAACCTGGGCGCTGGTGGCACCTCCCCCCCGCCTCCCCTCCCCTCGACACGACGCACTGACCAGCGTGGCGAGGCATGGCCAGACAACCGTCATGACCGACGGTGCTGTATGGGAGGAGACCTTCAGCGGCGGAATAAAGACTAAATTACTGTGGTTAAGAGTGTCACCTCGTTGTGACGAGCCACGCTCAACATAACGATCCCGCCGTTGTGTAGCGGTCCGTGGCAGCGTGAGCGCGTTCTCTCGCGTTTCTTTCTACCGCCGCATGGCGGCCGCGTTCCGTCAGCGACCCGCGCACGATGCAGCACACTACCGTACTGTACAGGGGAATAGTGAACGCGTGCAAACCGCGTGCGTAATGTTTTGCACGCGACCAGGAGGCGCGCACGCGCACACATCTACGTTCATGTTCTCGTGCGTTTCTTCAAAGGTCACTAAACCTGCCATAGCGACGACCCTGACGGTGAACTTTCTTCCAATCCCGCAAGTGGTTCGTGATAACGAGGTAATCATCCATTTAGACTCGAGCACTTGAGATCTGGCAGCGTGCATGTTGACAAACAGAACAGGTGTGACGTGACAGCACCAGTGCTGCTCCTAGTGGTGCTGCGAGTGGTGCTGCTCGTTCTGCTGCAACAGACCCTGCTGCTACTTCTGCTTGCACTCCTGCTACCCTTGCTGCTTCTTTTGCTGCTAGTGCTGCCGCTGCCATGTTATCACTGCTCTCAATTCGGGTGCCGATACCGTTCGTGTCATTGTGGTTGGGACTGCTGCTAGTGCTGCTGCTGCTTCTAACGCCGCCGTCAGTGCTGTTATTCTGCTGATAACGCTGGTACTGTCACTGCTGCTGATATTTACGATGCCGCCGATGCTTGCACGGACGCTGCTGGCACTCCCGCTATTGCCGCTGCTGTCGGTGGCGCCAGGGCAACCGCTGCCGGCACCCGTATCACCCGTACCACGGTGAGCATGGTGAAGCCGGCGCGCGTCATCAGCCCACCCAGGTCGGCCGCCGTGGTGAAGGGCGACACGTGCGGCGAGAAGCCCCCCTCGCGCTCCATCTCGGCCAGCTGCAGGGCCCCCCGCAACTCGAAGAGGCTCTCCCCGCCCAGCATAGCCCCGACAAAGACGCCGTCGGGCTTCAGCACCCTGTGGATCTGTCGGTCGAGGTCACACGGTGAGGCCACCGCCCCCGCGAATGAGTCACGTTGCTCGGATTTCACCGGCGATCTGCCAAAGTCAAGGCGTCTTGCTTCGCCGGCGAGCAATGTGCTCAAAAGCATCACCGGCCCTCAGCCAGTTGGGGTGCCGCGGTGGCGAGATGTTAACTCTCTCGCCTGGTATGCAGGACGCATGCTCTATGTTTGTCGTTTGCGTGTCTCTCTGCCGGTGGTCGTGTGGATTTTTTCCCGGATCCGCTGGGTTTTTCCCTCCCATTTAGAAACATGCATTTAGAGTATTTGGCTGCTATTAATGTCCACGTGATAAACCACTTCTTTGAGCTATCATTTGTGGTGAGGTCGCTTCTGAACAAGAGCTACATAGCTCAGTGGGCCTTACCTGGTAAAATAATAAATTGTTTAGTTTCATACTTTAGTTTAGTTTAGAAAACCCACGTTTATCTCACAGGCACGTCGTGTCAGCAGATGCAGTACCCATTGGGATCTCTGACAGAGCAGTGCCACTCAGTGTGTTATAGACAGATGGTGGAAGTGGATATGACGGTGCTGGGCAGCGGTGGCTACGCCGCACTCCAGTGCTGTGGAGGCAGCGAGGGTTGGTGGATCACCGTGGCTCAGCAAGTGGACTAATCACCATCCGTTCCCATCTGTACAGTGATAAAGCGTCGCCCCCTCGCACCTGTGGGTGTTTTTCCGGGTGCTCCGATTTCCTCCCACGTGTATAATAAACAATCATCATTAATTACTTATTTGTTTTATCAGGAAAGGCCCATCAATTAGCTAAAACATATTAAAATACAAACCCAGTGTAGCAAGGATAAGAATGAAAGAGAGTCCTACGACCCAGCGTGGCTCTCGTGGACAAGTAGTGATTATTATTATTACGTCACAAAGCTAGACAGTCCCCGGGTTGCGGAAGACCCGACTTACGGCAATCCGGACTTACAGAAAAGCTCCCATGAATCTTGTTACAAAAGAATTCAATCCGCGGAAATGTTTGCGTTAGTTAGGCAAAGCGCAAGTATTGCAGCGCGGCGAGGTTGCGGCTTCACGAGGATTAAGGTAAACGGGTTTTATCGTTGATTTTGTTGGGAAATTGTTCAGTTTCCGACATGCAGAAAATTTGGGTTACGGATTGTTCTCGCAAACCTATCTCTTCCATAACCCGGGGACTGTCTGTAATACGGAGTTCCCTTCAAGTAAACTTCTTTTACATCCACACACCAGAGGGTGGCACCCGCAGCGGCGTTTCGCTGGTCATCGAACAAAGACGGCCACTGCATCGTGCGGCGCTTTCCGACGCGTTTCTGCGACCGTCTGGAACGCTCTACCTTCCGTTATTAGGAAGCTACTGGAGCTGTGCACTCTTAAATCATCCTCGAGATTGACAAACTCATTTCTTTAGAACTGCTTTTTGTGTTTAGTTTATTGTCCTTCGCCAGGACCCCCTATTTGCACGGTTGTCTACGTATGGTGCGAAAGAAGTTCAACGTACGTACGTACTTTAGCACGCCCTCTGCTACAGAGAGTCAAACCAATTTATGTTTTTATTTTTAAGCTACAAATTGGTAGGATATATTGATCACCAAATATACTGATAGGTTGTTTTCGTGCAGTTATTGGTAACCAGGGTGACGCCATCAGCTCCCTAGACTTGGGAATGCAGTTTAGTCTTAGACATTGGCAGCCTAAAAACAAATTTAAAAAAGACAGGATCTTGGTGATGCTGGCTGAGCGTCCCGACTCTTGAGGCACCCGGCCAGATTTAGCATTCAAAGCTTCTTCCAAATGCTTTTGGTCACACAACCGATGCAGGCGGCAGTGGGTGGAGCGGTGATTGTTTCTGCTCACCTGATGGAACGCAGCGGGCAGGTCGTTGACCCAGTGGAGGCTGCGACGGAGACGAGAGGGCGAGAGTTAGGACAAGACTTTCCGCAGGGCGATGAAGCCATGCGGTGCACACAGCCTTTCAATGAAAGGCTGTTTGCTCTACTGATGGACTCTGGAGCTCATCGCCCTCTTTAATCACACACACCGTACTTCTAAACCGCTTGCCGTGTGACAGTCAAACCAATACTCTGAGTCGGGAGATAGAATGTAGCCAAAATGAGTTAAAGATTTATCACGGTGGTCTTCTGTGCCATCATTGGTGACCAAGCCGAGAGCATAAACTCTCTCGACTTGAAAACCCGGTTCAAACAAGAGCGATTGACATTCAGATTCAAACCGAGGCTCTCAGCAGTGCCAGCTTAAGTGTCCTGCAGCTCACTTATCAGCCTTGGATCGTGTTGCTCCCCTCGTGTGCGTGGGGTTTTCTCCGGGTAGTCTGGGTTTCTCCCACACGTATAAACACAACTAGTCATCAATTTGGCTGAAAGCATCTTCAATTAAAAAACCCAATGCAGGACTCTCCTGAAAAAGTCCTATGAGTCAGTGTGGCATTCCCGGATAAATAAGTACATTTTTAGTCATCACTCGCCAGTCAGATCTTCTGTTGTTGATGCCGACTAGGTTCACAATGAGATCTCCTTCCGTCAGCGACTTAAAAAAAATAAACGCACAAAATCGCGTGCACAAACACACGTACCTCAGGCTGCTCAACGCCAAGTTGAATGTGTCCGTCGGAAACGGCAGGAACTCTTCGTCTGCCACAACGCAGCGAGTCTCCACCTCTGTGGCCAGGGGACGCCTCTACACGGGAGGGGGAGGGGAGGAGCATGGGTAGTGTGAGGAACGCAAGGGGGGGAGAAGACGACGGTGCAGAATTCGCGCAGGAGGGGCAGCAGTGGCAGACGGTGAACAGCGATCCGCAGCACCACAGAAGGCGGACGGCCAGGATTACACATCACTAGGCTTGTTCACGATCCATCTAATAACACCGATTTTCATGCTCACAAGACTACACAAAATCGCACGCCTTCCCCCGCACCTCTGATTGGCAGGGTTGGCTACGTACGATGTGAAATAAATTAAACATCCGTACAACGGACTAAATATTTATGTAAATTCTGTGGAAATGTTTAAAAGTGGACAGCTTCAAACAAAAGTGTTAGACAGTTGTGGAGGAAAGCGTATACATCTAAATCAGCTCAATCCTCTTGTAAATCACGTGACTTCTGAGTGGCCAACCCTCCCCTCTCCTCGCCACCCCTTGAAAACAGACGCCGCTGCTCCTTCGTTCAGCAGCGTTGAGGCCCCGATGTAGCTTCTTCCTCCTGATCCCCATCTCTCCTGACCCTTTGCTCCTGTTTCTACCTTCCCTATTCTCATCCCTTTTCCCCTGATTTCCCATTCTTTCGCTTCTGTCTTCCTTTCCCGTTCCTTTCTCTTCTTCTATACATTACGGGTATGAAGTTGCTTGTGAAAAGCCAAGACAAATTAAACCGCTATATCTGCCGGACATTCACAGTCATGCAAGCCAGAACGTAACAGTGTTATGCGAGTCGTGGACTTGTCAGTGACAGGTACAACTTGCTACAATTCATTTTCCAGATGATTTCTGCATTACTAAACTAAACTAAAAACTACACTTTTTAATTTTACCAGGTAAGGCCCACTGAGCTGTACAGCTCTTTTTCAGAAGTGACCTGGCCACAAATGATAGCTCAACGAAGCAGCTTATCGTGGAAATTTATAGCAGCCAAATACTCTAAACACATGTTGATTCTAAATGTGGAGGGAAAAAACGATCATGGGAAAACTCCAAATATACAGGCATCAGAGTTGGGATCGAACCCACGACCTCCTGCATACCAGGCGAGGCAGTTAACATGTCGACACCGCGGGAACAATTACAATTTCACTGCCCTTAAAATTCCCGACTCGCTCTCGAAAGGTGTCGGGTTCAAGCAAATAAATTCACGGGTCAACTCATTCCCATCATCACCATATTTTCTCCAACCTTAAAAAATAAAGAGGAATCCAAGTGGTTATCTTGCAGACCCGCCCCCCACAATAGGAATGTGGAGTTTCCAGCAGTGGTTCCAGGCCTACTAATGCAAATCAGAGCTGCCCAATTATTTAATCGAGCAGTTTTCTTTTGACTTCAGTTGGATTACGTTTTATTTTTCCTCCTGTTATTCCAACCGTACTTTTTGCATAGCACGTAGAGCAGATAATTTATCTGTGTGTGTTAGAAACAGGCACAAAACGGTTCTATCACGCTACTTCTGAGAACCATTCAAGCACGTTGAGGCCTTGTGTGAATTGCACAATAGAAAACCGAGTTTATTATGATTACTATTAAGTAATCTCTTATCCACACTACACTCTGCCGTGTGCCCAAGTTATATTGCACGTATGACGTCACAACCCACCAGGGCATCGTGCGTCGTGTCCGTCTGGATCATCAGCTCCACGGTCTCCTGGAACGGAAAATGCGTACCGGTGTTAGCCAGAATATGAATAATTATTCATACTGGAGGAATCTGATGAGCTATAAAGCTCTTTTTCACAGATGTCCAGGAGGGGCAGGTAAGGACGTTACAACAAACAAAACACGATCGTAGTGCAAAATATAAGAACGGTCAACAAATCACCCAAACATACAAATACAACTAAACCATCTCCATCCTACCAGACAAAGCCCACCTAGGTATTCACTTATTTTTCAGAAGCAATCTGGCCACAAATGATAGCTCAACAAAGTGGCATATCATTTGGACATTTATAGCACTAAAATAATTACAATTATTTCAACCCACAAATACACGTCATTGTGCAGATGCACACCTGTACCGAGTGCGCACGAGCTGTGAGGATGAGAAACAGTTGAGGCACATTAAAAATGAGCCGCAGTGAATGATTCATATCACCATGAATTGAACATTTAATGTTACGAGGATTACCTTCTTCAGTGATGACAGTGAACGTATTATAAAGTTGGCCTGCAGCACAGGCTGTATGAAAGTGTAAGACCCAGGGCTGGGCTGTCACAGCAAAAGGGGTTCCACGGTGGCGAGATGTTAACTACCTCGCCTGGTATGCAGGGGGTCGTGGGTTCGACCCCGACACCTGTATATTTGGAGTTTGCATGTCTCTCTCCCTGTGGTCACGTGGATTTTTCTCCAGGTCCTCCGGTTTTTACCTCCACATTTAGAAACATGTGGTTCAGAGTAAATGGCTGCTATAAATTTCCACATGATAAGCCACTTCGTTGAGCTATCATTTCTGGCCAGGTCGTTTCTGAAATATGGCTATGTAGCTCAGTGGACCATACCTGGTTAAAATAAACATGTGTGCTGTTCCTCTTTAGGCTCTATCGCAGTGAGCACCACAGTGAAGCGCGTGTCCTGTACTCCAGAGCTCACCTTATTGAGGTGCTGAGCAATGTATCCACGCCCAGCACCCACATCCAGGGCCATGGGGAACATCCTGTGAGTGCGATATCATTATTTGTTCCATTTACCGCTCACGTCATTAAAAATACATTAGTCGGTGCCTCCCTGCTCAAACGAGCATTGGTGCAGTGCTCCTCTCCATCCATAGCCCTGAAACAGTCACGGGAATTCCACATTATGCTTTGTGTTGATTTTTTTTTACCTCCCCCGTACCTCCGATTAGAACGGTTGGCTACATATGGTGCGAAAGAAGTTTACATACATTCATATGGCAGAGATCATCGTCAACCATAGGTTGACTACTGTTTACTTAAAAAAAAGAGGTGATTTTAATTTAATAGACCTTGGAGGGATGATGGTGATGGGCCCAGATGACCTGAAATGGGATGTGTATTCATGACCCTCAGATTGCAAGTTACATTTTCTAACCCACTGCTCCACCTGGATATGTAAAATTGTATAACCACCTCATCTACTGTATTACATATAGCAGCTTAATATGGCGATGCAGTCATTGTGGTCAATGTTGTAGATGCCACCACACCTCTACGATGTAGTGATGATTAGTGGCTGATTAAGCATTCCCCCACGCCCCCCCAGCGGCTGTCAATGCTGTTTGCCTACAGGAGACGCCACTCTGCTTTTGATCTGTGTCAGACTAAACCGAGGCATTTAACGTCTCCCTACGCCCCCCAGAAATTTGACAAAGTGTCATAATTCAGGGTGGCAAGAATCAATATTTGTTTCTGTTTCGTTTCTCGTTTGTTCCATCTCATTCACTCCATTAGCCTAAATATAGCAACGGATACTGTTTGTTCAGTTGAGGTGGTTCGGGCACCTGGTAAGGATGCCCCCCAGTAGACCCCCCCTGGAACTCTACCGGGCACGTCCGACTGGGCGAAGGCCCCCAGGGCCGGCCCAGGACACGCTGGCGGGACTATGTCGCTCAGCTGGCCTAGGAATTCCCCAGGAAGAACTAGAGTCTGTGTATAGTAGTGTACAGTAGTGTAGTAATGCATAGCTGAGGTGTGGACTCGAGTCATGTGACTTGGACTCGAGTCAGACTCGAGTCATGAATTTGATGACTTCAGACTCGACTTGGACTTGCATAACAATGACTTTGTCCCACCTCTGGTGCATAGTAATGCAGTGCTGGAGTCTGTCGCCAGGGAAAGGGAGGTCTGGACCGCTCTACCCAACACGCTGCCACCGCGACCCTCACCAGGACAAGCGGACTGAGAAACGAACGAACGAAATAGTGAAGTGCTCAGATGTATGATTTGATTTCGTATATTGTGAGCGTAAGAATCGATATATGCTCACTGGAGGCGTGTGGTGGTGTGCCTCACCTTGAAACGTCGAACAGTCGGTCGACAATCTGTTCCGCCACCTGCCGAAGCATGCAGAGCCACATCTCGGGTTAAAATTCACCTCAACCGAATATGCCGATTGAACCCCCCGATCACCCATGGTGATCAACAATTACTAAGGCACGGCTGTCCCAGTGCCATTCAATTTCCGTGATTGTAAAAGTTACAAAAAAGGGCATGCTGATGGTGGCCCCCAAATTCGTGTTGGAAATTCCACATTCATATGGTGGGGTGCCAGTCTCTTTACAGTACTGATTATTTCGTATAAAGTGGCACTCATTCTATTGAACCCAGAGGCATGAAGTCATGAGTTTGACTCTGGATCAGGAGATCAATTTGCAATGCAGTGCAGGGGCCCACCTAATTCCCAGTACTCTAACATAGACATAAGAATGACGCACATTTTTTATACCAAAATACCAGTAGCGATATAAGTATTGTTATTTTTCTACATGTGAGAAACCATCACACGTTTACTTGAATTAGCACACTGCAATAATTTAACATTCAGTCAAGTAGCATAGCAGACAACTGGACTCAAATTAAGTTGATAATTTAACCCCAGACGCAGTACTGAGCCGGTCATCTTTATCATTCAAGCAACGATCGAGCACCACTTTGTCATAAGTGGTCAATGCATGTGCACCATCTGAATGTGGAATTTCGAATGCAAACATTTCGAATATTTCAACCTGTCCTTTGTAACTGTGAGCACTTATCCTTCTGACCGTGCCTTACTTTAACTCTCTAAACCGCGGCCTGCGTAGGAGTCACAATTGCAGCAGCGTTAACTGACATTACACTTGCAGTACTGTACATTGTGATGGCAATTTATTTATAATACCATTACAATTGTAATTGGCCCTAGGTCTGTCTACCCGTGGCCAGTCCCTTTATAGCGTTACGCTGTTAAACTATTTTTTTATATTACCAGGTGAGGTCCACTGAGCGACATGGTTCTTTTCAGAAGCGACCTGGCCACAAGCGATAGCTCAACGAAGTGGGCTTCTCATGTGGAAATGTACTGCAGCCAAACACTCTAAACGCGTGATGTTGTTTCTCAACGTGGAAAGAAAAAACTGGAGGCCCCAGGGAAAAATCCACGCGACCACGGGGAGAGACACCGCAACCTCCAAATACACAGCAGCAGGCGTCAGGGTCGGGATCGAACCCACGACCTCCTGCACACCAGGCGAGGTAGTTAACATCTCCTAGCCACCGCGGAACCTATTAATAATAATAGCAGCAGTAGAATTGTAATCGTCCCTAGGTCTCGCCCCGCGGCCAATCCCTTCTGAAGCGTTACCGCCGTGAACCCGTGGCTCGTAACCTCGACTCTTTCCTCCGATACCCCGGCCAATGCCTCCCCCCGGCCTCCCCGAGTCACCGCCTGCCGCAGGTAGTCGTAGCTCTCCGCGTTCGGTCGAGACGCTGCCCAGCTCCGCTGCCTCCGCTTCATGCGCCGGTCGAACACGTTCACCCCTCCGCCTGCCGCGCTGCTGAGCGACAACGCCGCCGTCGCCGCGCCTCCGACGACGCTCGGCCCGCCCGGTCTCCCTGCCCGTGCCGGGGAGGCCCCTCCGATCCCGAGTGCCCGGGGCCCCAGGGCCCCCAAACGCAGTCCAGACCCCAGCAGGGCCGAACCCGTCCTGGCTCCGCCGCTGGCCCGGGGTCTCAAGTCCGACTCCAAACACTCGGGTCCCGGCGTCAACCCCAGAAGCCTCGACCCCGATGTAGAGCTCTTTCCACGGGTTCCAGACCACGGTTCGCACCCACACCGCGGTCTTGGTTCTGACTCCAGTCCCGACCCCGGCTCGCCTCTCGCCACGCCGGCCGCGACACCTCCGAGTCCGCGGGGCGACCAGGCCAGACGGGAGCTGCGCCGCGGCCTACCGGGCGCGCCGGCCCAAAGCAACGCTCTCGCTGCGGTCAACGCCACAGCACTGCCGCCGCGGCGGGCGGACATCGCGGACGGCTGGTGACGAGGTGGTAGCAGGAGGAGGATGAGGTGGGGACGACGAGAGAGTCGGCGGGTCACGGGCTACCGCGCCGGGGGGCGCCCTCGGGGTGCCGAAGTGAATGGAGCGCACGGGTGGCGGAGCGCGTCCGTGATTGGGTGGCGGAGCGCGTCTGTGATTGGGTGGCGGAGCGCGTCTGTGATTGGCTGCCTCCGCGGCACCACGCAGCGTCAATTGTCTAGCTGCAGATGCCGAACACTGGAATCCCGATATTGAACATTGCCTACACATCAACATTACCATCATCCCTCAATAACTTGAAGGGCCGACTACGGGGTCAGCCAGATGAGCCAAACCAGCCAGCCGTCTCCTCCATGTAGCCTAAACTCTCACACACACTCCTACACACACACATGCGTACACAAAAAAACATGTTTTTTTAACAATCAGTTTAACATGTTTAATTGGAATTAGTATGCTTTGTTTAATCGATTGAACAATTGGTTTAGTATATACATTGTTTTTTTTGGTGTGCTTTTCATATAAGCCATCCGGGTTTCCAACCTCACCTGCACCCCTTTTTTACCTTTGTTTTATTTACACTATTTGTCTTTCGCTTGTTTTTTGTGTGCGAATAAGCAATACAATAACCAATACAATAAATACAATACAATAAACAATACAATAAACAATACAATACAATAACCAATACAATAAACAATGACAATACTCTGCGTGACGTCAGTAGGTGGCAAAGTTTAACCAACAAACAATAAATGAAGGACACAAGATGAAAAGACAGAAAGTTAAGCAAACCATTAAAAAAATGGATAAACTATAAAACTCAAAACGTTTATTTTTATTTCATGACACCAGGTAAGGGCCCACTGAGCTACCTATATAGATATTTTTTATTCAGAAGCGACCTGCCCATCACAAATTATCACTCAACAAAGTGGGCTTCACGTCATCATCGTGTGCACATCTATAGCAGTAGCAACACACTCTAAACGCGTGGTGATGTTGATTCGAGATGTGGAGGGAAAAACCGGAGGACCCAGATAAATATCCACGCGACGACGGGGAGAGAGAGACACGCAAACTCCAAACACACAGCAGGTGTCAGGGTCTGGTGCGAACCCATATCCTCCTGCATACCAGGCGAGGTAGTTAACATCTCCTCGCCACTGTGTCGCCGATATGAATAGCCTGGAAGTACACATTTCATTGGTACATACATTCCTGCAGATTTGTCAAGACCAAATGCAGCTTGGGCAAGGCAGCAAAACAACAACAACAAACCAAGACCACACAAAGACAACATAGTCCCTCGATTACATTGCACTTAAAAAAATAACTTTCAGGACCATGTACGAGGTGATGACAACCACGTGGCCGGCTTTAGTGTCAGTTGAACAAATTGCAATGGTGAAGGAGGGTCGTTGGCCGAAACGTCGCCTATTGTTTACCTTTTAAGGCCACAGTGTTATTGACGAACGTGTTAAAATTATGTTTTGTTTCGACAACCGATTTAGATCACGATTCTTACGTAGGATTCGTGATATCAGAATCAGAATATGTATTAATACTTGAAGAATCCGATGAACTATGAAGTTATTTTTCACAGATGGTCAGTAGGGCAGGCTCAGGACGTTACAACAACAAACAATACAAAACACGGTAGGAGTGAAATGTATAGGGAAGGTAAACAAATCACTTTACAATTTTTACAAATACAACTAAACTATTTTTTTCTTACCAGATAAAACCCAATGAACTATTAGTTTATTTTCACAGAAGCGGATCACCAGTGTTAGATTGTTGGGCTCGGCCACGTTCTTATCTGTCCAGATATATGTCGTAATACCCTCCTCCACCCGACATTAAATTGTCACACTAATTACATTGTCCGCTGTACAACATCGAACCATACACGTGGCTGCGCCAACCTACGTGTTGATTCATAATTGGTGTCCATGCGCGGCCTCTTTGTCATTCCACTGCTGGACGAGGGCCTTCCACGTGGCTATTTGACCATACTTCACCGTGCCGGTCAAAGCGGCTTCAAGGCGGAGAGCGGACAGCAACAATATGGTACAGGGGTCGGCAACCAAAATAAGAAGAGCCAATTTTTTTCGAATTCGATCAAGGAAACTCAATATTTCAAGAGCCGCAATGCATGCGAATACGAGACGGCCCTTAATAAGGTCCACGAAGAAGTCTGTAAAGAACTGAATACGGCTCCGGATCCATCCGCAGGTCGCCGAGACCACCGGGACAATCGTACAATGGATATGAACGCACTGCCCTCTGCTGCTACCAACTAGGTAGCACCGAATCAGCCTCTCAAGTTCATTTTAACCACGGTTGGCACTTCCCCTCCCCCCAATCCAAGGATGATGCAGGTTTCCTGCTTTAGCTTCCGAGATGTGACGAGGCGAGGAAGCAATTCTGGGCGATTGTCATTGCCGACTGCTCAACCAAACAGAAGTGTGCTCCCCACACCAACACGCCGCGGGTGTAGCTTCATCCCAATGGTGGCTGTCAGCCAAACGGTGGAAATCCTCCACTCCCATGGCAGAGGTCGACGCGGCTGTAGGACAGCCACTGTTGAAGCCTCACAAAATGACACTACATTTGTCCACCCAGCGGGGAAGTAGGGTTGATGATGGGCTTGGGGGTCCATGCTCGACTGGGACTGGCGATGATGTAACGGCGCAGTTGAAAGTGTTGGCGGATGAAGTTCTCGTTGCTTGCCACTCAGCAGTTGGCAGCGAAGATGACGATGATGCCAAGGTGTAAGATTATATTACCAACCGCGTTATTATTCCGCTTGTTTACACAGGAGAGTCTCGCTTGAGTAGCAAGACGATTTTTTCAGGACAGTCCTGCAAAGTGTTAGGGGCCGTCCATAAATGACGTCACGCGCCTAGGGGGGGGGGGGGGGTCAGACATTTGTGACGATGTGTGACGAGGGGGGGGGGGGTGAGAAATGTGACGTCACACCAAAATGCGCAACTTTAAATAAATATACACAACACGTTCTACTTAATTAAATAGTCTTTTTGATAAATGTTGTCTCCTGCAACATCAGAGTGCAGCGGCACATTAAATACGCGCTACAATGACAATAGTTTAAAGCGATTTGAAGCATGTTTTATTTTTTGGGGGGGGGGAGGCAGAGCTTTGTGACGTCATATTTGAGGGGGGGTCTGACTTTTTGTGACGTCGTGTGACGAAGGGGGGGGGGGGAACGTCCATAATTGCGTGACGTCATTTATGGACGGCCCCTTAGTCGTACCAACATCAGCATATTTATTTATACTGGAGGAGGAATCTGATGAGCGATGAAGCTCTTTTATCACAGATGTCCAGGATAGGCTGGTCAGAACGTTACATATGGGGCGATGTTGCTCTGTGTAATCCCACTTTAGTAATTGGCAAGGGTTACTTTTCAGACATTTGGATGTTTTGGCCAATACCGGTTACTTTGTGGGGGGGAGGGGGGGGGTAGCTATGAGAGGGATCCGGCAAACCCCGAGGAAAACGATGCAGAGCAGGGGAAGGACATACTCCACTCACACACAATCCACCATTCCACTCACTCTGTCAAACAGTGGAAGGAGCATGCACACTCCACACAGGCGCCCGATAATCCCCCCACTCCCCTCCCTCGACTCCCCCCCACTCCCACTTCCCCCCGCCTCTCCCTCCATTCGACCCCTCCACCCACCCTTCCCCTTTATCCCCCTTCTCCCCCGTTTCCGCCCCAATCCCCTCCCAATACCCTCCCTCCCCCCACTCCCCTCCCTCTCCCCACTCCCCTCCCTCTCCCACACTCCCCTCCCTCTCCCCACTCCCCTCCCCCACTCCCCTCCCCCCACTCCCCTCCCTCTTCCCCACTCCCCTCCCTCCCCCACTCCCCTCCCCCCCACTCCCCTCCCCCACTCCCCTCCCTCTCCCCACTCCCCTCCCCCCACTCCCCTCCTCTCCCCACTACCCTCCCTCCCCCCACTCCCCCCCCCCACTCCCCTCCCTCTCCCCACTCCCCTCCCCCACTCCCCTCCCTCTCCCCACTCCCCTCCCTCTCCCCACTTCCCCCTCCCCCCACTCCCTCCCTCTCCCCACTACCCTCCCTCCCCCCACTCCCCTCCCCCCACTCCCCTCCCTCTCCCCACTCCCCTCCCTCCCCCACTCCCCTCCCCCCACTCCCCTCCCTCTCCCCACTCCCCTCCCTCTCCCCTCCCCTCCCCCCACTCCCCTCCCTCCCCCACTACCCTCCCTCCCCCCACTCCCCTCCCCCCATCCCCTCCCTCTCCCCACTCCCCTCCCCCCACTCCCCTCCCCCCACTCCCCTCCCTCTCCCCACTACCCTCCCTCCCCCCACTCCCCTCTCCCCACTCCCCTCCCTCCCTCCACTCCCCTCCCCCCACCTCTCCCCCCATTCGCCCTCCACTCACCCTTCCCCTCTCTCCCCCCCTCCCCTTTCCCCGCCCCACTCCCCTCCCTCCTCCCACTCCCCTCCCCCCATTCCCCTCCCTCCCCCCACTACCCTCCCTCCCCCCACTCCCCTCCCCCCACTCCCCTCCCTCCCCCCACTCCCCTCCCCCACCTCTCCCCCCATTCGCCCTCCACTCACCCTTCCCCTCTCTCCCCCCACTCCCCTTTCCGCCCACTCCCCTCCCTCCCCCCACTCCCCTCCCCCCACTCCCCTCCCTCCCCCCACTACCCTCCTCCCCCCAATCCCCTCCCCCCACTCCCCTCCCTCCCCCCACTCCCCTCCCCCACCTCTCCCCCATTCGCCCTCCACCCACCTTTCCCCTCCTCCCCCCTCTTCCCCTCCCTCCCCCGTCTGCCCTTTTATTTTAAATTTTTGTTTTCTATTTACGTGACTTTACCGAAAAGCACCAAGAATACAGTTACAATAGTTGTTGGGCGAGGGTGAGGGAGAAGAGCGAGGTGGGGGGGGGTGAGCTAGGTGGGGGGGGGGTGAGCGGGGGGGGGGGGGGGGGTGAGCGGGGGGGGGGGTGAGCGGGGGTGAGGGGGTGAGCGGGGGGGTGAGCGGGGTGAGGGGGGGGGGTGAGGGGGGTGAGCGGGGTGAGGGGAGGTGAGGGGGGTGAGC